AAAGGTAGGTTCCCTTCCCCCCGCTGCGTCTCATCTATTCGTTCTTGCCCTGTGTCGCTAGTTCGTTGAAGTCAAAAAACCCGATGGTACAGTGAAGAAGGTTGCCAGCGGACTGGTGGATAATACGACGGAGTGGTTGGGCGACCAGTTCACCAGGCTCCATCTGCAGATCACCAATGAGTATGACTGGACCATGGAGGGCTTTGCCGAGCGGGCGCGTGTGCGCATGTTGGCCAGAAACAAACAGCGTCAAATGTAGGTTCACTCAATTTGCTGCCCTGACCCCCCTCTCTGCCCGTTACAGGATCTCCACGGAGAGGATTCAACACCTGGGTCTGGACCTGGCGGTCGCGCATATGATCTGCGATCTGGGCGGACGTGTACAGTTTGTGGGCAGTGATCGATGGTTCCAGCGGTACAACCAGGGTCCATCTGGCCTACCCAACTGCTACGTCGGTGACCTCAAATTGGAAGCCATTGATGCCTCCGGAACGCCCATCATGTACGAGGGTTTCAAGTTCTTTTGTAAGTTAACTTCAGTTCTCATTGTACGAATTTGTGCTCCTTGAATCTATGACTGGTTATTGGTCGACGAAGTCTCCACCTCCCTCGGTTGTAACCTCCAGCGTAGAGGGATTCATTCCAACGTGCCCTCCAGCCAACCGCTGGCGTATAGAAGCTGAGAATAAACGGTAGTTGATCTATCTGGGGTAACAGCTTAACAATAAAAGCCATGGTTAACCCGCGCCTGTGTTTTTTGAGACTATTTATTAATACCTACTGCATTAAAACTAGTAGATATATATTATTGAATATCGCGTTAATCTTTTCCCAAAGAAGAGGAAAAAGAAGAGGGGACGGGTTCGTGGACCAAATTGTATTTGGACTGACGTTTCAAAAGCTCACCCGCTTCCATCGTCAGAGTACCGTGCTTACTCTTCCGTGGGCCTTGAGTGAAGTAGTTCCAATGACGAATAACTCTCTGAGAAAAAAAGATAGAACATTAATTTATAAAGTTGTATTGATCTCCTTTTTCCAAATTTCTTTCAGCCGAGCTGACCGAATTGCGTTATCTGCGACTTCGGCGTTGCGTGCACGTGAATGACCACTGTCTATCACTCGTCGGCCTGATCACCAAGTCTCCCCTCCAACTACTGGATATCAGTGAATGCCCACGAATCACCGCTAATGGCATAACGGCTCTCACTGAATTAAAGTCAGTTTGGCGTTTGGTGCATTTTCATAATATGAATTTGAAAATAGGTATCCCAAGAAATATAATTTGGTAGAAGAAATTATTTGGGAAACGTGAACAAAC